ATAAAGAATTCGTAATGCACAGGAAGAGTTTCTGCAAATAACTAATAATAAAGAAGTGGCTCAGCTCCTTCATGTTTTCCAACATTTTTATCAATACATGGATATTTCTTACTAATATTTAGGATCCTGCTGTATGATTTGCAAGTTTGTGTCATAACACAGTTGATCTAAGGCTGAAAATAACTAAACTAATGAAGTTTAAATGTCTGAAGGTTGAGGACATAACATGATATTAGAAGCCATCCACTTACAGTTAAGAAAAGCATTTAGATTACATGTAAAATAGCCTCAGGTTGCTGGCTTACATGATGCTCGATTTAAAAGTAACATAGAATAGGCTTCATATTGTACTTGTTTCTATGAAAGAAATCAAAGTTTCTTTCAAAAGCCTATTTTTAACAATAGAAGCATATCATATTCTCCCTAAACAGGATGACTTAGAGGTATCAAATAGTTTTTTAACAACAAATATGCATTTTATGATAGTATTTCGACATAGAAAACTGGCATACGAGGAGGAGGGATTTCTCATGAGACAGCATAGCCTCAAGATACTCCGAAGCCTAAAGATGCTGCAGGTCACTAATGAATCTTCTTTTATGTGGTGAAGCCCAATTATTTGCAATCCTTTGCATTAGTTTTCCTTTAAGCTATTACATATGAGTGCAAAACACCCCTTTGTGCTCTTAATAGGTGCAAAGAAGTTCACAGCTGCATCTCTGAAGCCTTCATTGGGTCTGAAAGCACAGAAACTGGAATCTGTGCCTTTCCCCTGCATTTGGAACGTGGGAAGTTTAACTCCACTCTGCTTATTAACACATTTACTCTTTGAGCGTATACTTCTGTGTCCTAAAGAAAGAGAGCTTAAATTACAAGGCAAGCTACAAATCTCCTTCCCCTTCATTAACAAATTAGTCTGGAAATTCAACACCATAATTCACCTTTGAGCGCAGTGACTTTGCAGAGGTCTGGATTAAGAGTGGAGGTCCTGTAAAGATTTCCTTACATACCTAAGCTCTGCCTGCTGACACAGACTTGAACACGCCTGTTGGGAACCCACAGCTCCTCATAATTGAGGTGTAAATCACATAAAATAGGTCTCCTTCCTAGACATGCCCATTGCACTGCTGAACTGAGGGGAAGAAATCCCTGCAGCATCAGTAAATGGAGAACTGAAAGGGAAGGATTTGTTTAACTGAACAAAGCATGCTGTGGAGAGCCTGAAATAATAAAGGAGGTGGTTTCTGTAGATTTTAAGCTAACTTAAGGCTTCTCTGTGCATCACTTTTGTATTATTATTATTATTATTTAATAGTTTATTTCCATATTCAAACATAAAGGAACACTGTTTAAGGGTAATCAGCCAGAAGTTCATAAATAAATCAAGGCTAAAAACTGACAAATATACTCCGTGATTACTTCAGCATTTAGCTTAGCAACTCAGCTCATGCAGTCAGGGTTTGAGTAACTACAGACAAGAAGTCTAAATCTATTAGCTGCATTTAACTGGCATCTCCAATTAAAATCCAAACTCAAAGCCTATATTAACCCCCTGACAGAGTAGCATAGAATGGTTTGTGTTGGAAGGGACATTAAAGCTCCTCCAGCTCCAACCCCTGCCACGGGCAGGGACACCTTCCACTAGAGCAGGTTGCTCCAAGCCCCTGTGTCCAACCTGCCCTTGAACACTGCCAGGGATGGGGCAGCCACAGCTTCTCTGGGCACCCTGTGCCAGCGCCTCAGCACCCTCACAGTGAGTAAGAGTAAGCCATAAATTCTACAGTACTCACAAAAACTGAGAAACTCCATCTCAGGAGTTTCCTGAAGTATCCCAAACTTCCACAAGCTCCTATTGTATTTCACAGCCACACATTTCATATGTGCCAGCCTTGCCTTGTGTGCCACAAAACATTACTGAGCTGAGTAATGGGCAGAATTACAGGTAAGTAAGATCAGGGAATGGAATCCAGTCTCCCAGGGTCCAGTCCGTGCCTGTGGCATGCTCCTGTCTGCAGGAACTGGTATGATTGTCGACCTCAAGTAGAGGTTGAATGACTGAGCAAAGCCTCCCAGGAGACAAGGGTGCAAATGTTAGAGTCTAAGTAAGCCAAAACTGGGGTTAACTCCTTGTCCAAACCAAATGAAACAAACCAAAAAAGCATTATATAAAACTGCCCTCTTAAATATTTAACTCACAATTGTTTGTTCAACCATTCTTCTACCAAATGTGCACATATAGTTCTCCTTGGAGACACTGGCATCTGAGTAAGGCTTATGAAGAAAGTCCAGTTCTTTTGGTTGCTGTCATTCTTAATCACACGGATCTATAAAATTATTAGCCCAAGCTACTAGTGGGAATAGAAGACTTTAAATTAGCTGAATCTATCAGGCCTGGGCAATTAGGAAAGGGAGACAAGCAATTTTTGAAGAATCAATTTATTGGCTATTAAAGACATGCTTAAAATTAACTGTATCACAGAGCAGAGTACCCCATTTATCTGCTTCTGTTGTGGAGAGCATCACCAGCCTCCTGGTTTCATCTGGGTTATGGACTCCATTAATTCCATCTGTTCAGTCACTGCAAACAGACCCAGTGATGCTGCAGCCTCAGAGATCATGGGATTAAAGTGATACATGAAATAATCTGAAAATTGAGACAGAAGTACACTAATGAAATAGCAATATTAAAACAAATTGTATCTTAGAGGATCCTACTGTCAAATAACCAAGGGCCAGAAAACTCACTCGGAAACGCTGAGGTGTCCTAAGAGATGTTCGTAGTAAGTGACTTTCAGATCTAACAACTGATTTTTGTAAGCTTCTTCCATGGGTAAAAACATCTTTCCAGGGGTAATTACTGAGTATTTCACATCTCTAAATGCAGCATGTTGTATTGGCTACACCTCTGCATTTCCTACTATCTCTGTTTGTCTTTCCTACCACCTCTGCATTTCCTACCACCACCATCTTCAGAAGCTATGAACCAGTGCTCTGTATGCAGAATGTCTCTCAAGTAAAGGCGTAACTTCGGTTGGCAAACATATAGAGAAATAAAATTAATTTAGAGATCTAGAAGTATATATGAATATAAATCTATCATTTCTGTAAATAAATAAATGTATTTAAGTAATTAAGACAGCCCAAACCAGCCAGAGCACGGTACTAACATTCCCCACAAAGCATGACTGACTCCTGATTTAGGGTTTCAACTGGAACAAAAGATTCCTGACATTCATATGTAGTTTATTTATTTCTCCCTCCCCAAAATATTGTATCTGTACCTCATGTATTAAAGGCACAGGGATAACTGATCACACCCCCCAACCCCAGAAGGGCACAAAGCACAGAAAATCACTCTATCGCCCTGCTCCAGTTTCATCTTCAGGTTTCCCTCCGAAACTTCACCCTGGTATCAGGCACTGGGCCTGTACATCCACATCTAGTTTGAAAACGAGTATCTAGCGTTTTCACATCCCAGTACTTGAATGGTTTTGTCCTAAATCTTCCCTCTTTCTGCGTTCTCCTGCAGACTTCCCACATCACACTGATCCAGATAGAACCTTGCCCTTCTCAAATGACTGCTGCTCACTCGCCACCACCTGAATCTGTCAAGGTAGATGGAAAAAGGCCAACTAGGCAGATTCTACAGTATTTCAGTTACTTGTTCACAAGTGACTGAGATCTGGGAAGTAAACCATGAAAGAAGTATTAAGTAATGACACGTTTGCGTGAGATGAGTTGAAAGCAAGTTGATAACCCAGAAATCCAACCCTGCAGGGTGCAGATACATCTGTCTTTCTCAATAACTTTCAGGAAATGTTACTATTACTTTTAAAAGCCCATAAACATTCATTTTCCCGTTGAAAATAATTTCTTGGTCGTGTTTTCTTACATTAAAGCTAAATACAAACTACTCAAAAGGATTCACTTGTGTCACTTGAGAAAACAAACTCTGTTGTGGCACTTCGCTCTTCAAGAGCTTCAGGTTTTGTATTTGATTTTAATTAAAAACCTGTTTCAAATACCACACCTGAAGGTCCCTTTATTCCTTTTACGTTGTACTCCAAGTCCTTCTGCGGATACGCTGCTGTTTAAATTGGAGATACACATGCAGAATACTTGGATTAAGTGGGAATTTGGCTATCCAGTAAATCACAGCATTAGGGAGAAATTTGTGCAATAGGAGAGTCAAAAAGAGCACTTCGAATGAGGTGTAAAAACGAGGCCTCAACTCCTCAGTTACTACAGATCCCATATGATCTGTACAACAATAGAGCTGTTAAGGGGTTTTTTTGCTATGAGCTCTGTTAAGCAGTTGGCATCCTCTCATCCTTGAGGAAGTGCTTATATTTCAATAGCAGATTAAGTAATTTTTGTGAATCATCACAGGTTTTTTGCCCTGTTTTCTTTCTTTTAGTGCTTTAGGATCCTTTGGGATAAAAAGCTCCATTCTAAAGGCATATTACTGCTTTTTGTCAAGGATGAGTTGGTTTGCATTGGAAGCAAAACCTTAATTGATGCACTGCTGACTTCTTCCATAAACATCAGTAGTTCATCAATGTTAAGCATACAGCACTACCAGTTGCTAATGATTATTGATCGATAGCCAGGGTTTGGTTTAGCTACAAAGTACATTAACTATCAAGTAAATGCGGATAACTTGACTCCCGAGAGCCCCTATTGCCTTGCAGTGAAGTCCAACCACTGACCAAGCACCCTCGGAGTGACAGAATTGACCAAAAGGGTTGAGAAGCTGTGGCTGCCCCATCCCTGGCAGTGTTCAAGGCCAGGTTGGACACAGGGGCTTGGAGCAACCTGCTCTAGTGGAAGGTGTCCCTGCCCGTGGCAGGGGGTGGGGCGCGCGTAGCTTTAAGGTCTTTTCCAACCCAAACTATTCCATGAGTGGCAGCATAAGTTGGCGCCGTTGGGGGGGGGGGGGGTAAAAGCAGCATTTCTGTCATAACATGATGCTTATTGAACTGTTTTTGAACACAGGCATCATGGTGAGTAAGGAGCCCAGCAAATGCTTACTCACCACCTCAGAAAGCGAAGTTGAACCAGCGGCTTCACTCGCACTGGAGATGAAATACGCGCTGGATCCCAACCGGCAGATCAAGAAACGGAACAAAGCCCTCCAGGTGAGGTTTAAAGATATCTGCGAGGCCCAGAACGAGCAGAGGGACAAAGAGCTCTCCACCACACCGGATCCCGACAAGAGAGAAGCCAAGTCCATTTCCTACAAAACCTATCGCAAGTACATGACGGTGCCTGCCCGGAGGTCGATACCCAACGTCACCAAGAGCACAGGAGTCCAGACTTCCCCTGATCTTAAAAAGTGTTACCAGACCTTCCCTCTGGACCGCAAAAAAGGGAATATTCTTAAAAGCGCCTCGACCGTCGACACCTTCAAGGGTCAAAACAACGGGTTTCTAATAGATGTGAAGGACAAAGACAGCGGGAGCTCAGGGGAGGCCGTTCAGTGGGGCAAGAAGGCTGGGAGCCTGCAGACAGCAGAGTTCATTTCCCACATCAACGAGCGCTCCAGCGCGGCATCGCGCGACAACGGCGCCGAGGCGTGGGAAAGCACTGGTTTGCACAGCTCTCCCACAGGCACGCCACCTCCTCCTCCTCCTCTCCCAAACTCATCCGACCCCGCTTTGGAGGATCCCACCACCGCTGCCCGGCCACCCAGCCGAGGGAAACAGGCAGCGGGGAGCGAGGAGGCCACCCAAGCCCTCCACGGGAGGGTCTTCAAGACCGAGGTGGCCGCTGTTTATTTGCCAGCGCCTGGTTCCAACGCCTCGCAGCCCGACTTGTCACGCCTCACGGCCGAGACCAACTGGTCGCCGTGCCCAGCAGCCGAGGAGGACAAAAGGAGGACGGTGCACCTCAACGGTGCTCAGCCCCAGGCGGCGGGAGATGCTCGAGCCTGCTCGTCGCGGGCGCAGTGTCAAGCCTCTGAATGTAATGAACAGACCCTTCCGCTGAACGTGTCGCCCATGGAGGAGAACCAGCCCTGCCAGACGGCCGTGGCGGTCAGCGAGGAATGCCAACAAATCGTGCCTCACACCGAAGTTGTGGACTTGAAAGCCCAGCTTCAGATGATGGAAAGTTTGATCAGCTCTAGTCAGGAAACCATCAAAGTGTTGCTGGGTGTTATACAGGAGCTAGAGAAAGGAGAAGCTCACAGAGAAGGGTGAGTAGGAGCTGTTTGAATAAGATGTTTTTAATGCCTTTTCTGACAAGTTCTGCCCTTGAATTTGCCAATGTAGATTTGCACGCACGTTCCTCCACAGCACACCGAGACGTTACACGTGGTGCCTCTCACCTGGACTAAGGTTTGATGCCTTAGGCCAGACCTAAGGAAACCTGCCAGCAGTATTCACAGATCTAGCCTCCGCTTGTTTGGGGCTGTAATTAAGTAATTATTTAACGAAGGACCTATAAAATGTCTTCTTGTACCTTTCCTAACGCGCACAGAACGAGCCGCTTTCCAAACAGGATTAGTGAGGATGCTTCCTATCAGCAACTCGTGTTAACCATAATACCTCACACAGCATGAAAAGCAGCAGAAAAACCTTAATTCTGTAAGAGACTTGCCTCTTTTTAAGATTAAGGGATATTATTCCAACTCTTCATATAATTCCATTAATGGCATATGAATCTTGTCTGGTTTATTTGCACCTTCTGAATTGTTAATGATGCTTCTTTCAGAAGGGAATTAAATGAAAAGTTGGAATATCAAAGTCTTCTTTGCGGCATTCACACTGCTTTACACATGACAAAAGCATAAAGAAGCTAAATGTTGTTTATCCCTAACTTACATTACTTAAATCAACCTATAAGGCATTACAGAGAGTTACTATAACACGGTACAACCTTTAGTCATTACCCAGACAGTTCAACCCACCTCTCACGTTACCTTAAGCATTTTGCAGGCTTGCCTTAGTTCACTAATCTTTATTCAGTGAATGCACCTCAAGATGTGCACTGTTTGTGTGGGTTTAAATACCTCTGTAATTAAATCCTAATTTCTCTGAAGAAATCTGGATTTTAAAATTAGAAGCCTGTAGCTCGTGCTACTTGAGGCAGCACATGTTTGCATCAGAGCCAAAAAGGTACATCTTAAGATTTGCAATTCAACTCTTTCTTGAGGAATGTAGAAATCATCTCGTTAATCCTTAAAATTCAAAGTGTTTTGCATTAATAAATCATCTGAGCTCTCGGATGATGCTGTCAACACAGCCTTAGCATTTTAGTTTACTACTATTAGAATACCTTGTCAAGTTCTGAATCTTCAGCCTGAGAAGCTTCTTGATCTAGCTGAAAGCAACACAGGCTTCGATGATCTTAAAGGCTTTTTCCAACTGGAATGATTTTATGATTCCATGATTTGTTAATTCTTATTCAGAAAAAGTATTCCTCTGACTTTAACTTACAGAAACTGCAAGAGAGTTGGAGAGAAGTGGCATGCTGCTTGTCAAATCACAACACATAGAGAAATAGTTCTTCATCATAACTCATCATCGATCATCGAGAGCCCTGTGTGTATCAACACCCACATCTACCCACAAAGTCATCTGCTATAAATACCACTGCTTCCTCCATACACTTGTATATCAATTTTTTAGCTTCTCCCAAAGATAGTAGAGCAACAGCAAATACTCTTTTTATTGCCCTCACATAAGCAGACCCATTTAATGTAGCCAGCACTATGAGTGTATCTCTGCCCTCAGCACAGAAAAGGTCTTGCCCAAACTATCGATGATCACTCGTATCTCCACATAATCCTTCTGGAGTTGTCAACCTGACAAAGCTGTAGCCTGTATTAGCCCTAAAATAGCAGAACTATCCATAAATCCCTGTTCTTCAGAATATCTTACTGCCTCTCATACAGACTTGTGTGTTAAAGTCTGCAAGACTACACTGTATTTGACTAAAAAGAGCTGATTTATCAGTATTCCTTTACTTCCTCCCCATAGGTCCCCCAGTAGTGGAGAAATCATCACCTCAATATACATCACGCATTTTGAACATCTTTACAAACATGCTGTGGTATGTGGAAGAGAATTAAAATGTTTTCCTGATCCTTTGACATTAACTGTAATCAGTGGTTGAGGTTAATTATAAAAATTGGAAGCAAAATATCTACAAATCCAAGTGAGATTTCCCATAAAGGAGTTCTTTTAAACACCACATACAGAGGTGCTGCATTAAAACTTACCAAAAGGAGAACAGGGTTTCTACTTGGAGCCGCTTTCAGCTACGCTTAGTATGTTCTAGGCCTGTCCCAAACATGCCCCCTCCCAGCTAGACATGAAGGATGGAGAGATGGAGAAGGAAGAAAGGAGACACATACTTTGATGTTTTCCTCCTGTTTTAGGAATTCTTTTATTCCAGATCCCTCTAATTTTCTAGCACCTGGTTGTTTTAGAGGAGATTACACAAAGGAGTCCAACTTGGGCCATTTCTGTTCTCCACTGATCACACTCTAGAGCTGATGGAACACTCTGTTCTCATGCACAGCATCAACACATTATTAACATGAAGCCTGTCTTTATCCCTATTTCTCTCAAATTAGACAACTATTTCAGTAATAGGCTGCCTTGGTTTTTATTAGAATAATCCTTTCCAATTATTGCATTCATTTCTACAACACTTTTACCACTGAGACCCACCACTGTGTACACTACTATGGATCTTCTCAATTTTAGCATATTGAGCTTTTCTTCCTTGTATAACCAGGTGTTAGGTCAGTTTGTTACAAGAAATTAAAAGCAATCCTAGTGCTACATCTCTGCTCATTGTAGTGTATCAGAGACATCCATCTGCTGAAACAGAGAACAATGTGTTTAGGGCACTCTCCTGGTTTTCTGATGGATATTAAATTCCTTACGACAACATACCTCAAGAAACAAATACAAATGCCACAGTGCTGTTAGAGAAAGCAAACAAAAACTCAGCTAAATCTCTTAATCAGATTTTTCTCCCTTCAAGGAAATCAGCGTTCTTTAAGTGCTGTTGTAGTGCCATGGGACTAGTGCTCAGTGGATTCATTTTCACTAATATGCTGGAGGTCTTGAACTGCTATTACTGCAATTCATCACTAAATGAGCCTATGCCAGCAAAATTGTCTCAGCAACTCTGAAGGTAGTGGTATCATCCTGCTGGGCGAATAGCAGCTCTGTATACTTTTCAGAACGTTACTACCACATTATTACAATTAGAAGCAACAAACAGCACTCAACTCAGTGGAATAAAAAGGGGAAAACCATGGGAGAAGGGATTGAAGCTCAGAGCCAGCTCTAAGACCTGATGGAGCCAAGACTTTGAGGCTGAAGCGTGACCAACCTCTTCCTCTGACCTGGGACCAGACTCCATTTGTTGGTCACAGAACACAAAACCGAGGCCATCAGGAGACACATCTCTTAACCCTCAGGCACTGCATCTATTTTAATGCATTAAATCCATCTAAATAACACCTTGTAGATTTGGGGACAGGGGTACAAATCATCACCCACCTGTGATCCCCCAGTATCAAAGGGAATTACTAAAACTATCTATTTACGTGCATCATCATTTATCAAATCTTTGGCCAAGTGGTAATTATACCTTCCTATGTGGAAAATTCTACCAAAACCCAAGATTTCATCACAGCAAATGTCTGTGTTTGACACTGAATGTGTTACATCACATTCCATGTCTCTATTAAGTCATGCACGAACCAAAGTAACAGCAGCAGCTTAAGACTCCCAGCTTAAAGTTGAAGGAAACACTGATTTACATGATGCAAGGTACAGCTGTACAACACAAAACAAGCTTTATGCTCTGAATGACGTTTGCTTTACCTTCTAGTGCACTATTAGGAGCCTATAAACTAGAGACACACTGGGCTGCGTTCAGATACAGTGTGCTCATTCGAGCGAGCCAAATTCTGCTCTGTGTATGGAGCCTCAGTGAGAGCAACAGGACAGAAAGCAAAACACACATCACCAATTCCAAACCTTGCTAACAAACACCTACAGAACAGAAGATGAACAGATAATCAGAACTATTTTGCTGCTCTTGAACACTGATGACCTGCCCTTTAAATCCTGGCACTGAAAAGTAAGGGTAACGTGGGGCCCTTCTCATTCCACAACAAATGAGTAGTTTGGATGAAGGAAGTGCTCAATTTGCCACACAAAAGTAAGTTGGTGTATTTTGACTCTGAGAGGCCAAATGGTGCACATTAGACCAGAGCTAAATGAATCTGTTTCAGAGGTAACTTACATTCATTCATTAGCTGACACTGGTGCAGGAATTCAAAGAGCTCTCAGCAAACATTGATGAAACAAGCAGTCCCAGGCTCCTCCAAAGAGGCTTTGAAAGAGCATGTTCTCATGGACAGCATTTACATGTCCTGTTTTTCAATGAAAAAGGGGTATTTGTGTCTCTTATTATCGATTTTAAGTAGAAAATGAAACAGTTTGGTGTGTGTCTGGGTGGACGTTTGCCCTAAAGAGGAGACGAGAGCTTCACCTGGTGCAGAGACAGCACTCAAGTACTCCTGGCTTGAAAATACCACAAGAGTCGTCCTTCAGGTCACAAGAGTTGAGCATAAATCTACCATCCCAACTCAGGAATGATGGCAAATGAAAATGAGATAACCAGAGCGATTAGTACACAGCTTGTTGGCTTTTCCTCTCCTCAGGAATTACTTCAAGTCCAGCCCAGCCATTCAGCTCAGACGAAGCAGACCAAGCAAATCAAGGTAGCAACAACCTTTGCTGTCTACCTCAGTCCATCCACACATGAGCCAATACTCTTAAATCCTGGGATTTCTTTATTTCATGTGAGGAGAAAAGGAAGCTTTAAGAGTTTACAGGAACACAGCCTCTGAAAGCACAGCCTTTGGAAGCAACATGCAGAAATAACCTGACGTGGTTTCAGCTGGGATCTCCCCCCTCTTTGGATTTGCTTTTTCAATTACAGACACAGCAAAGGAGAAGTTTAACAAAATCATTTCTAAGAGAGACGTGGGAATGGAGGGAAGATAAATAAATATAACCACAGAAAACAGCTGCACGACACATAAATATATGAAAACCAGAAAGAAAACAACCAATTCCACCCATGACACACAAATTGTATCATACACTGAGCACCACCAGGTTTTAAGCAACTGTAGTAGCAGCCCTTTGGAACAGGACTACA